CCCACCTCCCCAGCCCCTGGCACCCCCCATTCTACTTTCTGTCTCTATGAATTTGATGACTCTAGGGATCTCCTATAAATGGAATCACACAGTATTTGTCCTTGTGTGACTGGCTTGTTTCACCAAGCATAATATCCTCAAGGTTCATCTGCGTTGTAGCACATGTCAGAATTTCTTTCCTTTTTATGGCTCAATCAGATTTCATTGCACAGATGGACCACACTGTGTTTATTCATTCTTCCATTGATGGAAAATTAATTTAAATAGCAGCATGTGGCTAATGGTTCCTATATGGGGCAGCACAACTCTACAGGGACGATACAGAATTAGCAACTTATCATTTGAGATGCTACTGCTATAGGAGAAGCTGAATCCTCGCCCTGCCCAGGGTCAGCCCGGCCTCCCCTGCCTGCCGTCCCATCCCTGGAGATCCATCTCTATGGTCACCCCTCTCCTAGGCCCTTCCTATCAGCACACGAGCATCCTCCAGTCTCTGTCTCCCTCCCTGCTGGGCCTCCCTCTCTAGTGTCCTCACCTCTGTCTTCTGTCCATCTCGGCTTCGGGAGAGAATAACATAAACTTTGGATCTCTGTGTCCTCTTGTCTGTCCCCACTGCCTCCTTAACTGCCAGCTTCAATGGCTGTTTTTCTGCTCTGTGTCTTGACTTCTCTGTGACCTCCTCCTTGAACTTCTCCCTCCCCTGGCTTCTAGGTCTCCTGGTCTGCTACTTCTCTTTCTCTTCTTCCACCTGCTCTGTACAATTAATATTCCCCAGAGCCTCTGAACACATGATGCCCGAACACACGATCCCTGGGTGACTGCCAACACACCTCCTTCTCCTTCTATTTAGGCTTTATCATCTTTTATTTTGTTTTTTGGCCTGGGCTTTTGTAAATACCCATTATTAGTAACCCTGCCTACACCCTTCTCCAGTCCTGGACTCCCTTTTGATGTCTGGAATACAAATACAAATCACACAGACTCAAATCCTCCATTGCCTTCAGGGTGAGGGGTAAACATCATGGCATGGTGTACATATCTGGTTTTCTAACCCCGTATTCTGACATCGCCAAGTGCATGCTGGGCATGGCGTTTCCATTCCTTTGAATGCTTTGCCCCCAAGCCCATACATGTTTGGCTCCTCCTCTACTCCAGTGAACTCCCATTCACCCTTCAAAACCCAGTTTGGCACCAACTCCCCAGTGGAAACTCCCTAGGCATTTTCTACTCAGTCCCCCAAAAGTGCTCATCATATTAAGCATCCTGACAGGTGATACCATGTTATACTTTGTTTTTAGTGACTGATCTCTTCATCCTTCTTCCTCCAACCCCAGGCTCTGACTATGGACTTCCTGCAGGCCAGCAACTAGCAACACAGGGGAGACCCATATTCTTTAATGTTTATTGAGGGCTGGCTGGTTAGCTCACTTGGTTAGAGCATAGTATTGGTAACACCATGGTGAAGGATTTGGATCCCTGTACTGACCAGCCACCCCCACCACCCCAAAAATTCCAAGTGTTAGCTGAATGAATAAATGAGGGTAAATCTAAGGTTTTAATAAACAGGAAGTTAAGAGTATATAAAATGGCTGCTTACCCTAGATATACTGCTAAATTTTCCTTGCAAGGATGTTTAATCAAACATGTTGTTGTAGATGAAAAATACAAAATGTCCTAGAGAAATAATCACAAAATCTTACTATTATCAATAACAATAAACAGCTGATAAAAACAATTTCCTAATGTGCAACATTACAAATGTGAAGGGTGAAATCTGGATTAGGTAGGCAGATTGTATCAATGTCATTTTCTGGTTTTGATATGGTGCTATGGTCATGGCAGATGTGACCATTGGGGAAAGCTGGCGGAAGAAGGGTCCCTGGGACTGGGACGTGTTTGTACTATTTTCGCAACTTGTTGTGAATCTATAATTATGTTCAAATAAAGTTTTAAAAATTCACAGGGCAATTATTCAAATCATATCTCATTCCTAAACAAGTTACTGTTTATTTTCAGATGATCCGTTATTTGAAAGGCCAGAGGATGAAGAACCTTAATGCTAACATGTTAAAAAACAATCACTTGAAGATTATTCAGAAATGCTGACACCACTTCTGAAATTATGCAATGTTAATAGGAAACATATTTGAATTGATGAAATATTTCTTTCCTTCATGCATTTTGAGCAGCAGACATTGGATAAAATGACATATCCTGTTTACATGTGTCAGGTAAACAAAGAAACAGCATTCACTTCCTCTGAGAGTTTTTTCTCACATATTAAAAAATCTCAGAGAGTGGAACAGACGGAACACTGGAAAAACTCAGATGATTGAGTTCTAAACCCAATTCTACCTCTTGGCTTTGTTCAGGTGACCTGATCTCTCTCAATTTTTTAGGGAGAGGGAAAGATTAATCTCTACTTCCAAGGGCAATGAACTGTAAGAATTGAATAAACTAATGTTCTCAAATGTTTGACAACGCTGGTGCCAAAGAAATACTAGGAAATGTTAGTTGTAATCCAATAGTTAGATAAACGTGAAGACAAATGTAAATTTGGAGCCACGTACCCCATAAACTTGCTGTATACCTTTAAACACTTTTCCTGTCCTCACCGTGCGAACACTAGAAGTAAGTAACAAGAGAGACCATCTGTCAATTTTTACTGAATAGTCAACACAACTCCTAAGGAACTCCTGCTCCAAGATATATATATATAAATATTTTAATAGGGTGGAGTGGTGGAATATTTTAATGGGGTGGAGTGGTGGTTGGAATGATGATCTAGTTTACAGCAGAGGTTCTTAGTCTTGAGTGTGCAGGAGAGTCACCTGGAAGGCCTGATCAACCACGGCTCGCTGGGCCACACCTCCAAGTTCCTAATTCAGTAGGTCGAGGGAACTGCGTTTCTAACCAACTCTAACAAATTCCCAAGTGATGCTGATGCTGCTGGTCCAGGGACTGCACTTTGAGAAGCCGTGTGGAGAAATGGGAGAACTGGATATAACCCATCTTTTCAGACCTTTTGACAAATACTATTAGTAAATCTTAGTGGAAAATCTTACTTCCCACTTACTAGCTATGTGTCTTTAGGAAAGCGTGTCTTTAATTTCCCTGGGTCTGTTTTCACATCTATAAAACAAGGTTAAGGAATCACTACTCCTTGAACCTTCTTACAAAGACCAAATGAGGCCATGCCCCATAAGCACACATTAACTATCTCATCAACAAACAGATCCTTGCTGAATGTGACAATTCACTCCGGGTAGAAGTTCCCTGAGGGCAGGAACTGGGCTTCTGGCAACTGTCTAGCCCCCATGTCACTTTGCACACAGTATTCACTAATCAAACACTCAGTGATTTTTAAAAATATGCTGGGTAAGGAATGAACAAGATAAACAGTCTACATCTCCATGAAGCTAATAAACTAGTGACACCAACAGACAGGAAACAATTTGTCAGAAAAATAGATAACAGTAGTTAGGGACAGGAAAAAGCAGCAATGGAGTGCGGGGGGATAGAAAGCTAACAGATGAGGGGGCTTTAAATAGGGGAATGTGCTATTTGAGTCAGGATCTGAATGATGAGGAACCAGCCATGGAGAAATCTGGAAGCCAAGTATGGAAGGGAGAGGAAAAAACAAGCACCAAGTCTGAACCGAGGATGGCCTGGTGGGAACACAGCAATCCAGGGGTCAGGCTAGTGATTTTCAGACCCGCAGGGGATACTTGGCAACGCCTAGAGACATTTTTGAGTGATTGTCAAGCCTGGCGGACGTTGCTAGCATCTGGTGGGTGGAAAACGTGGCAAAATGCACAGGACAGCCCCCACCACAGAAAATTATCCAGCCCCAAATTGTCAGCAGCCCTGCTGTTGAGAAACCCTGGACCACATCGTGCGATGGACTTGGGTTTTATTCTGGGTGCCTCGGAGAACCAGGTAAAGCAATGACGAAAGGCACTGACGAGGTCAGATTCATCTCTAAATGATTCCTCTCGCTGCAATGGACAGGAGGGCAAAGTCCAGGGTGGAGGCGGTGGGGGTGGCCTGAAAGGGTCGGAATCAGGCCAACGTTGTGGAGTAGCAACGGGAGGCCTCGGTGATGGGCTGAGAGGGTAGGGTGGGCTGGGGCGGGAGAAAGGGAGGTATTGAGACCGATTCCTAAAGGGGAAACCGAGAAGTGACGTCCTCGGTGACGTTGGGGAGCAAGCCTCAGCTCGAAGATGAACCAGCCCCTCCCGACCCCGGGCAGCACCCCAGCCCCAGGAGGGCAGCCCCACCCGCACAGCGGCTGAGCTCTGGCCGACGGGCAGAGCCCCGTAGCCGCCACCACCAGCATCAACACCAGCATCTCGCGTGAGCACCCGCCGCCAACACCGCGCCTTAACCGCCGCAGGAGTCGCTGTACAGTCCGGGAATGCGCAGACTAGAGCCTGAGCATGCGCACCAATGAGCCCCAGAGCCTGAGCAGGCGCACACACCTACCCGCGTGTAGTCTACAGTTTGCGCGTGCGCACGACTTCTCCCGGGAAGCCGGAATCCGCCCACCACTACGCGCCCCAGGGCCTGAACGTGCGCATGTCACTGGCGCGCGTAAGTATTAGTGCAAAGCTGTCCACAAGTTCCCAAAAGCTGCGCCTGCAGCAACGCCAATTCTTTGTACGAGCGCTATGGCCTGTGCCCATGATCTTCCACGTGACTCGAAGGGGCCTTGAGCGCGCTGGCTGGGAATCCGGAAAAAATGGAGGTGACGAGAAGCTCCAACCCCGCCTCTCCGCTAGCGCAGGCACCGCTTCCGCCCTCCTCTAAGTCACGCCCCTTGTCTCTGGCCACGCCCCCTACGGTTGGAGGCCCGTGTCTAGCGTCACGTGCGCTCGAGCCCGGCGAGCGGAAATGACGTGAGTCCAGTGCGCCGCCAGTATGGCCCGGCTATGGCGACGGGCACAGGCTACGTGCGGCTGTGGGGAGCGGCGCGGTGTTGGGCGCTGCGGCGGCCGCTACTGGCCGTCACGCCCATGACGATCCCGGACGTGTTCCCGCACCTGCCGCTCATCGCCATTACCCGCAACCCGGTGTTCCCGCGTTTTATCAAGATTATTGAGGTAATGAGAGTCCCCACCTCTACCTCAGTTTCCCCACCTTTGCAAGCAGCGGGTTGGACCGAGGGATCACTTAGCGCCCTCGTGCCTCGCAACTTTTTCAGACACGAAGTTTCTCAAGGGCCGGTGTTCCAATCCTTGTCTACTTAACACCAGCTTGGTGACCATGAGCCAAATTCCTCCCGCTTAAAGTCCCGGTCATAGAAGTCCTGGGCTGGAGGAACCAGAGCAGTACTGCGACTCCGTTATTTTTCTGCTTACTTGGTAAATGTTTTGCAACTCTGCCCTCTGGTTGCGAGCCCCTTTGAGATCAAGATTCATTCCTTTAACAAGTATTTCTTGACTGCTTACTATGTACCAGATGCGGTTCTAGATGCTGGGGATATGACAGTGAACAAGACTGACAAAAATTTCTGCTTTTGGAGCTTACATTCTAGTAGAATGAGAGGCAATAAACAAGATTAATAACTAAGTTATATTGTTAGAAGGCAATAATTACCACCGGGAATAATAGAGTAAGGGATGGTACAAGAGGCTTAGGAGGAAGGAGGACATCATTTATTCATTCAGCAGCGTGCTCTTGACCTCCTACCATGTAGCAGACTCTGAGAATACAGTAGTGAACTGGTCAGACACAGTCCCTGGCCTAAGGAACGTATGTTCTTTTTTTTCTTAAAGATGACCGGTAAGGGGATCTTAACCCTTGACTTGGTGTTGTCAGCACCACGCTCACCCAGTGAGCCAACCGGCCATCCCTATATAGGGATCCAACCCCCTGGCCTTGGTGTTATCAGCACCACACTCTCCCAAGTGAGCCACGGGCCAGCCCTGGAACGTATGTTCTGGTGGAAGAGACACTAAACAAATAAGATCTTTTCAGACCAAGAGTCTTGGGGGTTGGGAGGAATGGGGATGAGGGTGATGTAATAGAAAGAAAGCAATTAGTGCAAGAAACTTGAACTTTTAGAAGTAGGAAGGACCCAAATGCTATCCCCACCCCCTCTTCTTTGTTTTCTTCAAACCGATGTGGAAACTGGCGTCCATGGAGGACAAAGTTTATCTGTTAACTGTCTAAGCAAGGTCATACAGTGAGTCAGCCTCTGTGTTCACCCTCCAGCCTCTCCTCTAACACTCCAGACTCTGCTAGATAAATCTCAAGGATCCCTTGAAAGGGAAAAGGATAGTACGGAGGGGACAGACAGAGCCCTTCTCCACCTCTTCTCCCAAACTGCTGATTGTGTGTGTCTGAACTACCCTTCTGTGGCCCTTCTTTGATGTTGAGTAGTGGTTACTAGTGCAGGCCCCAGATCCAGACTCTGTGGAGTCATATTCTGACTCCACTACCCCTATCTTCATAACCTTCAGTAAGTTATTCCTCTGGACCTCCATTTTCTCATGTGTGCAATGGACATAATAGTAGTACCTTTTTTCTCAGAGCTGTGGTGGGAGTTAAATATAGTCATATGTCTAAAGAATTTAGAATCCTGCCTGGTGCTTAGTATGCTTCAGTAACAACTTGGTGCGCTTCAGACATTTCATAACCTTGCCCTGGAGGCTTTTTCCCATCCTTGACCCCACCCCCAGCAGTCCTTTTTACTCTCCCTGGCTCCTAGGGCCAGGACTTTTCACCAGGTCTGGTTCTCTGAGCCCTGCAAAGTGACAGATGTCCCTTGCTCCCAGCACCTGAGCAGAGGTGATTCTTCCGAGAGTTCTGTCTGCCCACCTGTAGCTGGCCAGAGGGTTAAATGAGTCGCTGTAGATAGCATTTGGTACTCACTGTATTTCTGTTGGTGTTACTTTGTGTAGCAAAAAGTGATGGGGGCGGGGGCAGGGGAGAGACAGGTGCTGAGGATACAGCAGTCAGCTTTTGGCAGAGGAAAAATTGGGGGGCACCTTCTTTGGGACTCTGTTTCTGACCTAGTTAGCAAAGCTCTGTTTACTCTTGATTTTCTGGTTAACACTGATTGTGTGGCTAATCTGCTCTAGTAGCTTAGTGGCCTCTGAGTGTAGAACAAAGGCTCTTCATTTTTGGTGAGTCATGTACGGTCCTGTTGGATGTCACAGACTTTCTTCCCAGAAAAAGTACTTCCGTAGTGTCAGGAATTTCCAGCCCACAAGTTAAGATCCCCTGTTAGGGAGTGAGTGAAAACACTGTCTCAAAGTGTGGTCCCTGGACCAGCAGCATCAGCATCACCTGGGAGCTTGTTTGAAATGCACATTCCCAGGCCCCACCCCAGACTTCCTGAATCAGAACCTCCAAGGGTGAGGCAAGTCCTCCAGGTAATTGTGATGCCTGCCAAAATTTGAGGGCCATTAAGTTTAATCAAGGTCTGGCCTGGGAACTAACACAGGCTAGAAAGAAATCAGGTGAGCCTGAGGACATCTGTGCTCCTTGCTTCATCAGATGTTTCCTAGAAGACATTATGAGCCCAGAACGTGCCATTGAAATGACGTTGAGAATGTGCTGAGATCCTGGAGGTTTTGATCATCAGTGAATAGCGTATGGATATGATCAGGAAATAGTTTTAATGAAAAGTAGAGGGAATTATCAGTCTGTGGGGTTTGAATTATGCATCTTTAGTGTTGTCCTGACAGTAATAAAAGCAGAATGGTGCTGGCCAGTTAGCTCATTTGGGTATAGCACAGCCTTATAACACCAGGGTCAAGGGTTCAGATCCCCATACTGGCCAGCCACAAAAAAATAAAATGAATAAAAGCAGAATGGTTTTGATTTTCATACCAAGACATTTTGCCACTGAAACAGTTTGTGAAACTGAATGTTAAATCAATTTCTTGGTTCTGGCTGTTTGCTTTGAATTTTCTTTAGGCAGTAGGAAAGAGCTAAGGCTTGCTGTTGTTAATGCTGCTTCACTTATTTTCCACTGCCACCCTGTCCTTTTTTTTTTGGTTCAGGGGTTCTTGGACCATGTTGATTAGTGTCCTGGATCAGGTTAGCATATAGGAAAGAGCTAAGGCTTGCTGTTGTTAATGCTGCTTCACTTATTTTCCACTGCCACCCTGCCTTTTTTTTTTTGGTTCAGGGGTTCTTGGACCATGTTGATTAGTGTCCTGGATCAGGTTAGCATGTCCCCAGAGAATAATCTAGGAAACAGTAGAGCTGCTGTCAGAATGTCAGCTAGCAAACCTAGCCTGCATTTCACTTTGGGGTCATTGTCATGCTAGGTTAAAAATAAGAAGTTGGTTGAGCTGCTAAGAAGGAAAGTCCGTCTTGCCCAGCCTTATGTCGGCGTCTTTCTAAAGAGGGATGACAAGTAAGTGTCATTTTTCCTTCATTCCTTTGTTGAAGTTGCCACAAATCCCACTTTGTAGATTAATTTGGACCTTTGACCCTTGACCTAAAAGAAACAAAGGAACCTCGTCCAGGGGACTAGGCCAAGAGCCAGGAAGACTGGACTACCGTGTTAGTCTGGGTTGAGGAATTGGCTGGTAGCTCACGGCACTAAACTTCACGCATGGTGAAGATGGGGGAACATTAACCTCGAGCACCCTTAGTGTTAAAATGCACCTGTGAGGCTACTTCAAAGTAGAGCAAGTCGGGCGGAAATCGTGACTCCAGGTGGAAATTAATGCCATTTCCAAGTTGGAAGGTGCATGGGTCCTAAGCAGGCTCTGTCATAGGAGAGTGAAGAGAATCAAAGTCCCATCTGGGCCCCAGCCTCATGGCTGACTTAGCAAGGAGTGCCCTCCTAGCAAGGAGTGTCCTCCTGTGTGCTGTCCCCGCTGGCAACAGCCGTGACCTGGCTCTGCTAGGCTCTGGAGCACCTGTGGAAGCTCAGTTTTCAGTAGTAGCCGGTAGGGGCATTTCTTTTCTCTCCCTCTTCCCTCCCAGCTGAGACATCCCACTGAGTATCAGTGCATGTGTGTTCCTCTCCCCTAGCAACGAGTCCGATGTGGTCGAGAGCCTGGATGAGATCTACCACACGGGGACGTTTGCCCAAATCCACGAGATGCAGGACCTAGGGGACAAGTTGCGCATGATCATCATGGGACACAGAAGGTGTGTGGGCCAGCTACCGTGGGGCACTGGTATGTGGGGGCAGGGCTTGTGAGGCCAGGTGGGAAGAGAGCCCTAGGTGCCAGCAGTGACCTCTGTCAGCAGCTGTGTCACCAGCAGTGAGGCCAGAGCCAGGGACGGGAAAGAGACGCATCACATATGGGTCCCTCCCTTCTCAGAAAGTAGCGGGTTGCCTCCAGTCCCATCTCTGGGTGTGCGCTGTCACCAGTTGGCTGTGGTTTCCCTCCACATGCCTGTATCTGCATCTTCCAGCAGATCATGCTGTATATACAGCCTAGCAGTGTTTGGTTTCTCCCTCAAGCAGGTATATTTACTTGTCAGTCTGCGCAGTTTCTACCTCCATCCTGCGGAAGGGCCATGTGCAACGTTTGTAAGCCCAGTTTAACCCCTTGTGCTGTTACTATAAATTAAGAGAAGTCAGGGCTGGTCAGTTGGCTCAGTTGGTTAGAGCGCCACCTTGTAACACCAAGGTCAAGGGTTTAGATCTCTGTAATGACCAGATGAAAAGGTAAAAAAAAGAATTGGGTCATAATTATGCCAGCCACCAAAAATAACTATGTATATAAGAAAAGTCTACAGGACCAGCTTAGGGTTGAAGCTCTTACTGGATCAGCTAACAGCTTTCTAGGTATGTTCCAAGGAACATTGGGTCCTCCAAAATGCTCCTCAGATAGTCCTGTGGTCACATACACGCAGGAAACATTTCAGGTTCACAAGTCCTTAACGTGGCAAAGGTTCTGGAAAGCCCCTCGTGGGAGATGCTCCCTGGAGTTTGTTGAGTCTAGAGTCCTCCCTCCTTTGTTCTCACAGGGCCTTTTTCTTGTATCAGCCGGGCAGTGCTTCCAGGCACACTTGGGAAATGGCCTGTGCCAGGCGTTGATTCTGTGAAAAGTCCTGGTGGCGTTCCTGCTGCTCTGAGCCTACAGGCCCTTCTTTATCTGCTCACACTGGGGTCTCTTGTGGGGACAAGGCCCCCTCCTTCATCTCCTGGACGGATCTACCAGTCAGAGGGAGCATAATAAGATGCAATCAAAAAAGACAGGGGCAGCTACTAAGCATTCACTAGCTGTCCTGCTGACCCACAAGGTGCCTTACAGAACAAGGCCTGCTGACTCCTGAGGCTAGGTCTGCCCGGGACCTACCCAGTCCCAGCCTCCTCCTCTCTGCCTGTCTCATGGATGGTCAGGTGCCCATGTCAGCCAGGCACCGAGTCATCATCCTGGGTGGCAGAGGAGAGAACTAAGAAGTGGGATGGCCTGTTGTCATTCAAAATCTAACAGAGGTTCTGGTGTCTGCCAGGCACTGGTACAGAGAAACGGGCTGCCTTATGGAGCCCACTGCCCCAAAGGGGGAGGACCCAAGATGGAAGCAATGAGGTCGCAGCTGAATATGGGTGGGGGTGGTCAGTGTGATAGATGTTTAGGTAGGTGGGGCCACCTCCATGTGGTGGTCAGGGAGGGCCTCTTGGAGAAGGCATCCTTCATATTGAGACCGGAAGTGAAAAATGGGATAGAGCCACTTTGTGATAAGTTCGAGATGGGGGGTGGGGCCAGCAGAGCTCCAGAGATGGCTGGAGCTCGGCCGAGCTTGTGACATAGCTTGTGATAGGAGGCCCTGGAGCTCAGTACCGCGGCTTATCCGTGACACTTGGAACAATTGTGGAGGACAGTGGGGCGTTGGCATGGGACATGGGGATTGCACGAACCTACCTGGTTGCAGGGCTTGGAGAAAGCAGCTCAGTCTCCTGCTCGAGGACCCAGTAGCCACCCTGCCCCAGTGGCTCCTGTACTTCCTGCACTGCTCAGTTGAGAGGCCCCCTGAGAGGCCTTGGCCAGTGGCAGGGCACTTTCCAGCCTTAGTGGCCTCACCCCTGCCTTGCTCCCATCTTCAGGGTTCACATCAACAGACAGCTAGAGGTGGAGCCAGTGAGAGGCCTTGGCCAGTGGCAGGGCACTTTCCAGCCTTAGTGGCTTCACCCCTGCCTTGCTCCCATCTTCAGGGTTCACATCAACAGACAGCTAGAGGTGGAGCCAGAGGAGCCAGAAACTGAGAATAAAGAGAAGGCACGGAGGAAGCCGAAGCGGGGCAAGAAGGAGGCGGAGGACGAACTGCGTGCCAGACGCCAGATGGAGATGGTGATGGAGCCCGCCGCAGCCCCCACCCAGGTGCTCATGGTGGAAGTGGAGAACGTTGTCCACGAAGACTTCCAGGTCACAGAGGAGGTGAAAGTAGGTCAACATGCTTGTCATGTTCTTGGGGCTCCCAAAGGACAGTCACCTGTGACCTTGAGCCTCACACTCAGGAAGGGTTTGGCATTTCTAAAACTCAGATTCTTGTGGAATGAATAGCGTGCATTTTCTCCCAAAAGTCCTGGGGAGAACTGCGTTGAAACGGGCAAAGGAAATACTCTGGGGCCTGTAGCTGCTCGGGTAGGAGGCAGGATTTGAACCCAGGTCCAGCCCCAGCCTCTGTGCACTGTGCAGAGGCCTCCAGCTGTTGCCAAAGCACATTCCATCCCAGCTCCTTCCCATCAAGCCTGGGAGGTGGCAGAGGGGAGCAGGAGACCCATAGCTACAAGGCAAGAAAGAAACAGCCTTTGGCAACCTGACCCCCAAACCTAGGCTGTCCTGCCTTCCTTGTGGCATATTGAGCCAGCTTTTGAGATGGAGGTAGGCAGGCTCTGGTGGCAGTGGCCTGCCTGCTTTCTTGTGGGTAGGAATGATTAGCAAAGATAATTGAAGGCCTGGAATGTATTGGCTCCTTATGTGTGTGCCCAGTGTTGGCCTCCTCCCTGAGGAGGGGACACAGGCCAGGCAGAGCCAATAACTATGGTCTGATCTTTGATTGGTTGCCGTTGGCTGTGGCCCTGTGTTGAGGATTCTGGGGCTGCTGCTGAGCTTGGTGGGAACAAGTACCAGAATCAATTGGTGATGTCTGCCATTGGCGCTGCAAGGGGCTTGGCTGCGTTGGCCACTGGCTGGGCGAGCAGTCCTGGTCACCACAAGCTGCATGGGACCCTTGCAATCAGCACCCGGATGGGGACATTCTGTAATTCTGCACCATTAGTCTCTGGTGTCTGCTGAGCACTTGAAATAACAACTGGTGCGACTGAGAAACGGGATGTAAAATTTTATTTAATTTTAACACATTTAAATTGAAATAGCACACCAAGGTCCAGCGTTCGATCCCTGTACTGGCCAGCTGCCCTCCAAAATAAAAATTTAAATACCTACCAGTATCTGTGCTGTATTGGGCAGCCCAGTGTTAGAGGTTCTTTGAGGCTTTCATAGCAGAAGAAAGATGAACAACTAAACTCATCAGCACTGTGATTAGAAGGACTAGGAGGACCTCTGAGCGACAGGGTGCTCGCTGCTGGAGTATGTGTGCTGCGGACTCCTGGCTGGCCTGTCTTTAAAAAAAAAAAAGTTTTGTTCTAAGGACAAGGCTCAGAGTGGTCTAAGGAGACAGGCTTTGGTTCTAGTTTTTACTCTCTTGGTCCTGTGTCCCTGTGACTGGTGCATTTGGGCTCCACTCCTTGGTCTCCAAAGCTGTCCTTGGCCAGGGCCAGGTGGGAGGGGCTCCCGGGGCCATACCCCCCACAGGCTGGGGCATGGTCAAGCCCCAGTGACCCACTGTGGCTTCCCACTTGCCAGGCCCTGACCGCCGAGATCGTGAAAACCATCCGGGACATCATCGCCCTGAACCCTCTCTACAGGTGGGTCTCCCCAGTGCACAGCTGGTGGCCCCAGGGGCAGGCTAGGCCTGTCTATGGTTCTTTCTGCAGTGGAGTCGGCAGGCAGTTCTCTTCAGCTTTCATCCTGACAGGAAACCTGGCGGGGGTGAGGGGGTGGGTGGGAAAGGATTTGTGGTCCAGGGACAGCCCTGTGCAGGAGGAGCCGCTTCCCCCTGAGGGTGAGGGCTGAATAGAAGGCCCCAGGCCTGGCTGACCAGGCCCAGATTTTTTGCTCTCTTCCTGCTAGTAAGTGCCTGGATTTGGCCAGAAGCTTTTGTGGTCCTCAGCTGCGGGAGGAGGGAGGTAATCTCATGAAGGCTGAGGGGTAGGGTAACTCATCTGCTGGCAAGGGATGGCGTCTTGGGATGGGGGTGTGAATCTCTAGACTCCAAGATTGGAAGACCCTGTTAGCCCTGAACTTGATGAGGCTTGGGTAGCAGAGCTGGCTTGCCCAGAGCTACTAGGGAATAGGATGCTAAGGCCTGGGTCCCTCTGTCCCTTGCAGAGAGTCGGTGCTGCAGATGATGCAGGCTGGCCAGAGGGTGGTGGATAACCCCATCTACCTGAGTGACATGGGCGCCGCCCTGACCGGAGCCGAGTCCCACGAGCTGCAGGACGTCCTGGAGGAGACCAGTGTGAGTTGGGCCCACCCTTCCCGCCCGTGCCCCATCCGTGCCCGTGTTGTGCTGGTCCTGCAGCCATGCAGCCTGGCCGCTTGTCCTTGACTCTAGATAATTTCACATCTATCTCCCGTGTTCTTTTTAGTGGCTTCATAGCGTTCCCCTGGGTGGTGCCCATCGTTTGTTGAGTCAGGTCCTTTGGGTTGGGTATCCGCTCATCTCTTGCTGTTGTGAACAGCATTTCTGGGAATGTCCTTGCCCGCACAGCTTGTGGGCCTATGGAAGCTTATCTGTAGAATGTGTTTCCAGAACTGGCCTTGTTGGGTTGGAGGGGGCATGCCTCTCTTGCTTGGTGAGGTGTGGCCAGGCTGCTCCCAGGAGCAGCTCTTGGGGTACCCATCTCCCCAACACCCTCACCCCTGCACAGACAGATGCTGACTTCTGACCATCCTCTCACGTTCTCCCTCTCCCGGCAGATCCCCAAGCGACTGTATAAGTCCTTGTCCCTCCTGAAGAAGGAGTTTGAGCTGAGCAAGCTGCAGCAGCGCCTGGGGCGGGAGGTAAGCGGGGCGGGCGGCACAGCCACTCTCGGGATGGGCTCCCTGGAGAGATGGCGTCAGCAGGAGCCTGCTACAGCAAGTCCAGATGTGTCCACCTCGAGGGCACTGTGCAGTCAGTTGCTGGTATCTGAGCTGTGAGACTCTGTGTTAAATGGAGGAAACGTCACACTGGACCCAGTGCGATGAGCCCAGAGTGGACAGGTCTCAAGGCTGTCCTGTGTCAAGGGAGAGGATTTCTCTGCCTTGGTGATCCTGGGGACGGTGCTGGAAATTAGAAACCAGTCACTCCACCACTTGAGGCCACCTTCTTGATTTTGGGCAAATCTGTGACCTGCCTGCATTGCCAGTTACTTAGCAGCAGTGCCGTTTTTTCAGATTTGACTCGCTTCTTTCACTTAGTTGTATTTCAGGAGAAATTCACATCCCATCTTTAATTGGGAAACCTAGAACAGTGGGTTATCAGTAAAAGGCAGCTCTCCAAACACATGTGACAGAACACAACAGGGGGCAGTTTAGGCCGATCCGTTGGTAGTACTGGGCCCTGAGCCTGCGTCATGCTGTCTCTTCTATTCAAAGGTCGGCGCCTGTTAGAGAAGTGTTGGGGATGTGCTAGCATCAAGTTGAGCCTTTCTCTTGTCATAATTGGGACTGAAAAGGAAATAACTTCCTCCCCGTGGGAATCAGTGTTGGAGCTGGCCGGTTAGCTCAGTTGGTTAGAGCATGGTGCTGATAACACCAAGGTCAAGGGTTCGGATCCCTTTACTGGCCAGCTGTCGGGGAAAAAAAAAAAGAAGGAAGGAATTGGAGGCTTTGTGCCCTGGGTTTCTTTTCTGAGTCCTGGGGAAGCTGAGGCTTGGACACCCTGGGCTGAGCAGTGGCTTCTTGGCCCTGTCAGGTGGAGGAGAAAATCAAACAGACCCACCGCAAGTACCTCCTGCAAGAGCAGCTGAAGATCATCAAGAAGGAGCTGGGCCTGGAGAAGGAGGATAAGGACGCCATCGAGGAGAAGTTCCGGGAGCGGCTGAAGGAGCTGGTGGTCCCCAAGCACGTCATGGAGGTCGTTGACGAGGAGCTGAGCAAGCTGGGCCTGCTGGACAACCACTCCTCAGAGTTCAAGTGAGCACTGCGTGGGGCCCCTGTGGATGCGGGCCAGCCCTCACAGGGGACCCCTTCTGTTCCCCAGCCCTGGGCAAGCCAGGGGCCTGGGTGGGGTCCGTGCAGCACATTCTTGTTGTGGCAGGTGATTGGTGTGTATCAGCTAAGTCACCCCTGGGCAGAACGTGCTGTTGTCACCTCCATTTTACACACACTAAATTGAGTCTTTGGGCCAGTGACTAGAGCTTCTGAGCTGGTAGATGGTGAGAGGGATCTGAGCCCAGGGACGCCTGGCTCTAAGCCAATGCTCTAACCAGGAGACTCAAGAGCCATCACCCCAACGACACTCCTTGCGTCTGTCTCCCTGGCCTTGCTGCTTTGAGAGTCAGCCAGGAAACGACCGTGTCTTCCTGCAGCCCTGGCCTTCCTAGTGGTCATTTCCCCATGCATGCTGGCTGTGAGTCAGATGGCTGCCCTGGGGCTTGGGCTGAGGGGCTCATGTCCCTGTGGGATTCTTTTGTCTGTACCTACATCCAGCCTGCTGGACACCAGCCCTGAAAGAAACGATCTGACCATTTCCTGGACAACTCTAGGCAGGGCAGGTCCCTGGGGCCCAGCAGCAGGTCTGGCCAGGCCCTGGGATAGCCGTAGAAGGAAACTTGAGGGGAACTGGAACACCTAGCCCTGAGTTTCTTTCTTCTAGCTACTGGGCCAGGACCCTCCCTTGGGTCAGAGTGTCCAGAGGGGCGCTGAAGCCTCTTTCCACCAGGACCCCGGGAGGCGCAGGTTTCCTTCAAAGGCTTCCATTCCAAAGATGCCCAAGTGAGTTCTCTTCCTTGGGCAGTGGATGAGCTTCCTGTTGTTGCTGCCATAGAGTACCGTTAAGTTTAATGCCTCAGAGCATCACTGTCCTCCTACAGCTCTGGAGGGCAGAAGTCCTCATTTTAAGTGTGAGCAGGGCTGGCTCCTCTTGGGGCTCCAGGGGAGGACCCATTTCCTCCTTTCCCAGCTCCTGGAGGCGCCCACAGCCCTTGGCACGTGGCCCCTTCCTCCGTCTGCAAACCCGGCAGCACACCGTCCTCCAGTCTCTCTCTGCCGCTGGCCCTTGTGCTCCCTCTTATGAGGACCCTGGGCCCCCGGGTAATCCAAGGTGGTCTTACATCTCAGTCTTTAATTCAGTCCCATCTGCAGAGTCCCTTTTGCCGTGCGAGGTGACATTCATGGGTTCTGAGGATTAGGACATAGACATTTTGGGGGTCTTTCTCTCCCCCCCACAGGCACTTCAGCTTCCCTCGGGGCTTGTGGAAGTGCCTGCTTGGGCCAGGCCTTATCTTGCAGAACAAGACAGCTCCCTGCCTCCCAGGAGCTGAGCGGGTCTGCGTGGCTGGTTCTATCATTAGGTGCTGGGGACAAGCCCACTGTGGTCGCCTGGGGGGCTGTTGGCCCCTCCCTGGGCACTGCCCACCGCCCTTGGTGCCACATCTCACCAAGGTGAGGCCCCCAGCTGCCCCCAGCCTAGAACATTCTCTGCAAAACAGTCTGAGGTGACTTTACAGCCATGAATCTGGTTGTGTTGTTGCCCATTAAAGTCCTTTCTGCAGGGACTTTGTGTGTCCCTAAAGTAAAATCCACCCACTGTGTGACCCCGCAGGCTCTGTGAGATCCAGCCGTGCTGGCCTCTTCCAGTGCATCTTGTATGCCAGAGTGTGAGCTTGGTGGCAGCATATTCCCAAGTCGCCCCAGTGCCTGATAACAGGCCATCTGGTGTCCTCTGTGGTGGTCCGCTTCCTTGTCCCCTAAGTCCCCCTTCTTCTCCCCCAGCAGCCCCTGCTGACTGGCTCCAGGTCTGTGATGGCTGCCGTCCACAGGTGCCCAGTTCCCAGCTCCTGGATCAGTCTGGGGTACCCTCCCAACTTGCATCGTCGCTCCCTTGGCAGTGCACCTGACCTCAGTTTCCCAATATGCCCTGGGTCTGGTTTTCTCCTCTTTTCTAAGCCTGGCCCCTCTGTGTTGGTGCTGGCTCAGCCCTGGACAGCACGGGACAAGCAGGTCAGCAGGTCTCTGCTCTGCTGACAAGTATCAGACCCTGACCTTGGGCCATTCCCTCCCCTCACTGTGCCTGGTGCTTTGCCAAGACACAGGGTGTTCATATTGGGTGCGAGAATCTTGGGGTGTGGTCCCTGCCAAGGTGCCTTTTCAAAGTAGTGTCCCACCCCACCTGCCAAGTTGCGCTGCTCTTGACAGCGTCCATGCAGAGGCCTAGCGGGCCCAGTGCTTGAGTTTCACAGCCCAGGCGGTATGAGCGTCCTGCTCACCAGTGCTCGTCTGTTCTGTGGCAGCGTCACCCGCAATTACCTGGACTGGCTCACATCCATCCCCTGGGGCAAGTACAGTGATGAGAACCTGGACCTGGCCCGGGCCCGGGCGGTGCTGGAGGAGGACCACTATGGTATGGAGGACGTCAAGAAGCGCATCCTGGTGAGGCCCACTGTGCCCCTACGGGGACCTTGAGGTCCTAACTCGCCAACCCTCCCCACCGACCAGGCACATGGTCAGTGCACCCAGAGTGGGGACTGAGGGGCAGGGTCTGTAATAATCTGGATCTACATATGGCTGGTGGGCCTGGGGCCCAGGATTGCCCTGTGCTGTGGGTCAATGACTCAGAGCAGCCCCCAGGTGAGTTTGTGGGTCTGGGGTGCTGGTGGGGGCCAGCAGGGGAAAAGGAAGGGGTGAGGGGTGGAGGGGCTGGCTTTGGAGCGGCTCAGGACAGTAGGAGCAGCCTGTGACCCCAGGCCAGCCTGCCGCACCATTGGGGACTTATGGTTTACCAGGTGGGATCAAAATTGCACTTGAGACCACAGAAACCAGTGGCTCAGGACAGTAGGAGCAGCCTGTGACCCCAGGCCAGCCTGCCGCGCCATTGGGGACTTATGGTTTACCAGGTGGGATCAAAATTGCACTTGAGACCACAGAAACCAGGCAGAGCAGCAGGGAGCCTGGGGGCAGAGAACCAGGCCCGAGGCATCTGGCTGAGGGTGGGTGGGCCATGGGTCAGGGAGAACACACTGTGATCCAACGTGTGGGGGTGCCACATGGGCATGGTGCTCCTGGGCACCCACAGTCTTCTGGCACCTAGTCGTCCCATTGCCACAGGTTGTCCCTCCATGTGGCAAATGACAGCTCCCCCCGGGGCAAGCCCGGTCCCTCCACGCAGCCCCAGATGTCTGAGAGGCAGCATGCAGGGGGTGAGCTCCATGCCCCGGCTCCCCCGGCCAGGGCACCTTCCTCTGGAGTGCAGGAGCCGGTATCTTGGGGGCAGCCAGCCCGAGTGCCGCTGAGCCCCCCTCTGCCCACAGGAGTTCATCGCTGTGAGCCAGCTCCGCGGCTCCACCCAGGGCAAGATCCTCTGCTTCTATGGGCCCCCTGGCGTGGGCAAAACCAGCATCGCCCGCTCCATCGCCCGTGCCCTGAACCGCGAGTACTTCCGCTTCAGCGTCGGAGGCATGACTGACGTGGCCGAGATCAAAGGGCACAGGTAGGACAGCCCTCTCTCCTTTTGCCTCAGCCTTCCTGTGTTGCACTCTCTTTGTCACCTCCCTGCCCCTGGGTGATGGAGACGCAAAGGATTACTCAAAGCCTATTTCTTCTGGGTCAGTGAGAAGCCCCCCAAAGGGGTTAATTTTCCAGGATCCCTCAAGAGAGAGGCATTCCACCTTGGAAAAATAACCCTGAACTGGGGTTCTTTCTCAGTATTTATTCTCTGGGCCAGAAAGTTACAGAAAAGGAACTATAGGTAGAGTTATGGCTAAGTATAGTTTAATAATAGAAGCTGGTAACATCAGTGAAATAACAAAGTGACATTCCATAATGCAATTTGCAAAAGGTTAAGTCAATTTACCAACAAAAGCTTGTTCTTAGCAAATACTGTCTCTTCCTACAGCAATTTCCTCAGTATGTTTATATAACAATCAAGTAACTTTAGGTTAACCTGCACCAAGGACATCTGTCCTTGAGCCAATGATTTTGCTGTGTTACAATTCTTTATCTACAACAGAGACGCTAGCCTAGAGAAAGTTTCCTGTCTTTTGCAAGCTTAACATTTCCATATGTAATTTTAAAAAGTTAGGCTGCTAGCCTGGAGAAAGTTTCCTGTCTTTTGCAAGCTTAACATTTCCATATGTAATTTTAAAAAGTTAGGCTAAACCTGAAACTACAGGGCTTTGGAAGCTAGGCCCTGTGAAACACATTTGCTTTATAAATGTTAGTATACTCCACACTCCTGTCCAGCTGCATTCTTCTCTATGGTGGCTCCGATGCAGATTAGAATGACTGGGTTGTGGTCAACAAACTCCGCTCATGCTGGAGGAAGTAACTGAGAAGTCCAGGCAGCATACAGACTTCAGGCCTGGCTAAATCCAGGCGCTCAAACACCACTGGCAGGAGAATCCACATCTCCACCCTGGGAGGGCATGTCGGCAAGAGGCCCTGGTAGATCTAACTTATGTCCCAGCCCCTCAGCTGCTGCAGCACTCTGGCTAGGGTTCTAGGCTGGCTTCGGCTGGGCCGTTTGCCCCACCCCAGCACCAGGGGTGGGGTCGGCCTCCCTGAATCCTGTGGTCTAGAGTGGGGGTGAGATGGTCTCCCCAGTGAGAATGGTGCTGTTTACATCAGAGAAACTCTGGCGCCTGTCTGGTTTCTCTCCTCCCTGATCAGGCTCTGGCTCAGGCCCAATGTAGGGCCTGGAACCTCTGTGTCTAATGTCTTTGTGCTGCCTGGGCCTTTGGGAGGGCAGTGGGCGTGTTGCTGTCCCCCGGGGCTTTCCGCCACATGGGGCCTCTGTAGACAGTGGTTCTTTGAAAAGCAAAGCTGCATCCTTGCAGAGTCACAAGTATCGAGTGTCTGTTCTGAGATCACCACCTGTGTCCATCTTACATAGAGTTTAAAGATTTAAGTCTGTGTTTGGAAGTAACATTTCTGGCTTCTCTAAAAATCGGGGCTGGTGGGTGACCCACTGGGCAGGGAGGGCACCCTGGTCTGGTGCAGCCCCTGCCACTCCTCTGTCTTGAGTGCCGCATGGGTAGTCGCTCCTGCTGACCTCCCCTGCCCAAAGCCTGGGGGGAGGAACTGGAGGAGGCGGGGCTTGAGGTAGAAGGAGCAGCAGGATGGAGGAGGAGGAACCAGTGCCAAGGGAGGCTGAGTTGGGCCACTTCCTGGGCACATGGTTTAAGGCAAGTCCCCACAGCCCCTGCTTTGGGGAATGTCCAGGAGCTGCAGGGAAGGACCATTCACTGGGGTGAGGAGAGACCTTGGCATGGTTTCTAAATTAGCCTGGGCGGCCTCTGCTGTTGGGGGTGAGTCATCGGGGAGAGGGCTTAGGAGGGCTGGTGCAGGCCAGCGTTCTGTGCTGACCATGGTCCAGGTCAAGAGCAAGGACAAGAGACTGACTGCTGGGGTAAAGTGGTTCATACTGGTAAACAGCAGAGAGACCTTCCTCTGCCCACAGACCTCCATGGCTCCCACCTCCCTCAGGGTAAAAGCTCAAGTCTTCTCCACGGTCCACAAGGCCCTGTACAACCTGCGCCGTTCCCTCCCCACCTCCCTCTCCCTCTCGCTCACTCTGCTCCAGTCACATGGGCCTCCTCACTGTTCCTCCCACATGCCAGGCTCAGTCCTGCCCCAGGACCTTTGCACATGCTGTTCTCTGTGCCTGGCATGCTGTTCCTTCAGACACCAATGTGGCTCCCTCCTCATCTTTGCTCAGGGCCTCTCCCTAAGATGTTTTTTGACACTTCCCACCCACCCACAAGCTTAAATGCCACAGACCTTCCCCCTACCAGTGGCATTCCACACTCCCTACTTCTTTTTGGGGGGTAGCATATATAAAGTTTTCCTATCTCGTGAATCCTCTGCCTTGTTTATGGTCTGTCTGCCCAGTTGGGCCTCAGTGCACAAGCACGGGACTCAGGTCTGGTTTGTCCCTGCCGAGTACCAGGCGACTCTGCTGGGCACAGCACGTAGCTTGTCAGCAAGCACTCCTGAGAGGAGGGGCTGGCTGTGGCCAGGCCTCAGGCCGGGCTCCTTGTGCACTTCTGGTGACGTGTGGCCCTTTAGGCCGGGCCATGCCTACTGTCCTTCATGAGGAGCCGGGGGGCTTCCACCTGCGTCTGCCTGGGCCCAGCCCCCCTCTGTTGGGTGGAGGAACACAGATGGGTTTCACCGTCTGGGTAGCAGGTGCCAGCTGAGGGTGGGACTAAGGGAGACCTGGCTGTGGATTGGAACCTGATTTGGGAGGGAATGTCAGCACCCCCAATTCTTATGAGCATAAGGCAAGTTGGGGTGACCAGAGTCTGTGGCCACTAGCATGTGTCAGGACTCCATGTGGCCACGACATGGATTCGCTTGCTGCCTCTTCTGAGCAGCCCTGGCAAGCACATGGCAGGCTGGGGGCCTACAGTCTTCCTGGCAGAGCCCAGCATGTGGGTGCTGGGGCTCCCGAGTGAGCCGCCGACCCGCTGTGCCCTCTCCTGCAGGCGGACCTACGTGGGTGCCATGCCTGGGAAGATCATCCAGTGCCTGAAGAAGACCAAGACTGAGAACCCCCTGGTCCTGATAGACGAGGTGCGGGTGGGGAGGGGCAGCCATGGGCCCCTTGCCCCACAGCAGCTGTGTCAATGAGGCTGACCGACCCTACCACTCTTCCTCGGGTCAGACGTGGTCCCTGGGCCTTCCTAGTCCAGAGCTCCAGGCAGCCCTGACCCTGCAAGTCCATGTTAGAGATGAAGCCCAAGTCACCATGGGTGGCCTCAGCTGGCTCTGATGACAAGGGGAGGGATTCTTCTGCCCACAGCCGCCCCTCTGAGGCCGCAACCCCCTGGTCTCCCTGCGAGGAGTACGGGGAGAGGGCCAGGGCGCCCATGCCACCTGTCTTCTGCTGCCCCAGGTGGACAAGATCGGCCGGGGTTACCAGGGTGACCCCTCATCGGCGCTCCTAGAGCTGCTGGATCCAGAGCAGAATGCCAACTTCCTGGACCACTACCTGGATGTGCCTGTGGACTTGTCCAAGGTGCATGTCCCGCCTGCCCGGGGGCCTGGGCTCGGCAGGGAGGGGCGACCGCCCAGCCCTCACCACCTTGCCACCGGCCGCAGGTGCTGTTCATCTGCACAGCCAATGTCACCGAGACCATCCCCGAGCCATTGAGGGACCGCATGGAGATGATCAACGTGTCCGGCTACGTGGCGCAGGAGAAGCTGGCCATCGCAGAGGTGAGGCTGACCCACGCTGCTGTCGCAGGCCTGGGGAGCAGGGGAACCCTGCTCAGGCTCAGGAAGCACCTAAGCACCCACAGCGTGCCCAGTGTGCCAGCACTGACGTCTGCAGTATCCCTGCCTCCCTACACAGTTCCCGTTCCAGACAGACAGACTGATGAGCGCAGGGTCTGCCAGCCTAGTGTAGTGTGATGTGTTCCAGGAGAAGTAGATGAGGCTTAAAAGAAAAACCAAAGATACCTGGGAACAGGTGCTGCGAACGACACCATCCTGTCTCAGGTTCTATGGCCCAAGATTAAAACCTTTGCACACTCGGGTTCCCCAAGCCTCGCAGCTGCCTCTGTGGAGGGGCCCCATCCCCGCTTTCTAGATGGACACCACCTCCCTGGTACAGTTGGGTCCTCACCCTCCCGGTGCCCAGGTATGGGTGGTGTCGTTACCAGCCCCAAATTGGGTTAGAGCTGTGAGTCCTGCCCGGAAGAACACAGTGCAGAGGCACTTTCAGTGAGGGGACTGCAGGGTTCTATTCCAGAGGGGTCTTGTGCTTGCTTTTCTGAGAAGAGTTGAGCCCCTTTGCAGCCCCTGACAGCAGCCTTGAGTCCCCTGAGGGATCTAGTCCCAAAGACAGCTTTCAGTTCCTGGGGGTGGCAGGGCAGGAAAAGGCCATGGCTGAGGTGGCTGCAGGGGCCTCCCTGCCACGTCCTCTGTTTGCAGCTGCAGGGGAGAATGCAGGGTTGGGTGGGCTTCCTTCAGACCCTCGAGGAGAAGGCGGGAAGAGCATGGGGACTCCTTGAGGCTCCAAGACCAGCCCTAGTGTCAGTTGTCAAGTGGTGGGCTGTGTGTGTGTGTGTGTGTCCGTCCGTGTCCATCCCTGCATCTCCAGCACTCTCAGCTGTGCAGTCAGAGCTCAGGACTGTCTGGCAGGAGTGGGGCTGGGTTGTTGGGGACCCTGGATCCTCCCAAACCGGTCCCCATCTGCTGAGGGTAATGGCCACATAACCTACCAGCTACCACATGGGCCCTCAGCCTTTACGTGGGGTAAGCCCGGGGCATGAGGGTGGCCTTCCTGGAGTAGGTGGCATCTAGAATACATGCAGGGCAGGGGAGGAAGTGGCATCTACAGTGATGGGCAGGGCAGGAAGAGGATCCAGGCAGAGAATAGAGCAAGCACAGAGGCCTAGGGCATCAGGAGTATGGGGAGGCAGTAGGGCCGTGGCAGTCGGGTGAAGAGGTCAAGTCTGCAGGTCCTGTGCTCACCCCTGGAGCCAACCGAGCTCTGCCCACATATGCCTGCCAGTCCCCAGTTCCTCACTCTTCATGTTGCAGCTGAGGTGTCTCCTCCTGGAGCAGCCTTCCCGACACCCTGTCTACCTTGGGCTTCCTCCCCATGCTCTGGCACTGCTCGCCCACAGGGACGGGAGCTCCAGCTGGGCAGGGCCTCGGTTCACCATGTTGATCTCACTTGTGCAGTCAGGGAGTCTGTGCCAGGCTAGGGGGACAGGACAGACTGCCAAGAAACCCAGCGTCACTCGGAGTGTTGGAGAACTCAGATTTATTACACCGGCGGGCCCAGAGTTCACATTCCAAAGTCTGAGCCCCGACTTCAGGCTTGCAAAGGGTTATATAGGTTACATTCTTCTGAGGCTTTAGGTTTTGTTTTCTCAGAATCCACGCGGCAGGGGCTAAGGGGATACAAAAGGCGGTCAGTGTTACAAAAGCAAAACAAAAAGCAAAAATACAGGCACAAAACAAAAAGCGAAGTACAGGTGCAGGTTTAAGTTTTTCTGAGCTTGTCCATATCAAGGCATTGGTTCCCTGGCCCAGGGGTCCTTAGAGGGCCAGCCCCTGACAGCTGCACACTCCCTGCTGCAGCGGTACCTGGTGCCCCAGGCCCGATCCCTGTGTGGCCTGGACGAGAGCAAGGCCAAGCTGTCGTCGGACGTGCTGACCCTTCTTATCAAGCAGTACTGCCGGGAGAGCGGTGTTCGCAACCTGCAGAAGCAGGTGGAGAAGGTGAGTGGCAGCCCTGTCCCTCCATGCACTGTTCCTGTGCCCGGCCCTCACCCACCTGGCCACCTCGCTGCACCTGCCCACCCCAGGTGTTGCGGAAGTCAGCCTACAAGATTGTCAGCGGCGAGGCTGAGGCCGTGGAGGTGACGCCCGAGAACCTGCAGGACTTCGTAGGGAAGCCCATCTTCACAGTGGAGCGCATGTACGACGTGACACCGCCTGGTGTGGTCATGGGGCTGGCCTGGACCGCCATGGGTGAGCGGCTCTAGTGGTTTTGTGTCTGGTCCTCCCCTGTCCTTTCGGTCGTCACACTGAGAGGATCTAACGCCACTTGCTTCTACCCAAGAACAAGCACACGTTAGCAGGTTAGAGCATGGGGCTGCTAACGCCAAGGTCAAAGGCTCAGATCCCTGTGCTGGCCAGCACGTGCCACCTCCCGCAGCTGTGCTGTGAGTTGTAGATGGCTCTGAACAGCCTCCCAGATGATGGGTGGTGTGTAGCAAGTACAAGGGATTTGGGCTGACCTAGGGAAAAGATGTGCCCACATGCACCGTGGCAGTAGCACCCAACAAGTTTATTTGGGTGACACCTTGACAGGTATACAGGTGAGGGGCAGGGGTAAGGCCTCACAGCAGAAGACATCCAGAGACACCATGTGGGGTTGGGAGGGGGCTCGTGTGTCCCTCACAGCATGATGGGGAGTCTTGGGTCCCAGCGGTCTGGGGGTAGCAGCTGCCTAGGGTGTGTGGTAGCTGTGGCTGGCAGCCGTGGGGTGCAGTGCTGTGGCCTGCACAGCACCAGGCAGAAAACGGCTGGGGGTCTATGCACTCGGGCTATACTTAGCAGTGCTGGGCTCTGGGCTCACAGTGCTGTCCTGCTGGGAAATGAAGGCAGAGGCCAGCTTTGGTTTGCTTATATAGACACAGTCCCTGCAGCTGGAATCTGTTGCCCCAGGAGATGGCTGTGGGGACAGCAAGGGTGCTGGACAGGAAGGATGAGGGTGGGCCATGAGGAGTGGGGGTAGCACCTGATTGGGGGTCAGAGGCCCCCCAGGCTTCACAGGTTCCCCTCATCTCCCAGGAGGCTCCACGATGTTTGTCGAGACGTCCCCGAGGCGGCCACCAGAGAAGGAAACCAAGGGGGACAAGGATGGCAGTCTGGAGGTGACAGGCCAGCTGGGGGAGGTGATGAAGGAGAGTGCCCGCATCGCCTACACCTTCGCCAGGGCCTTCCTGATGCTGCGCGACCCCACCAATGAATACCTGGTGACCTCGCACATCCACTTGCATGTGCCTGAGGTGAGCCCTCTCCCTGGGCACTGCCCACCACACCCCGGCAGCCGGCCACCTACCCACCTGCCTCTCCCCCTCAAGGGTGCCACCCCCAAGGACGGCCCGAGCGCTGGCTGCACCATCGTCACTGCCCTGCTCTCCCTGGCCATGGACCGGCCGGTGCGGCAGAACCTGGCCATGACTGGCGAGGTCTCTCTCACCGGCAAGATCCTGCCCGTCGGAGGCATCAAGGAGAAGACCATTGCGGTGAGTGTCTGCCCCTCCCACCCCGCAGACAGGTTATGGGCCACCTTCCGCACCACATCTGCTGTGTTTAAGCCTCACAGATGGGTGGGGTAAGAGTAACAAGCCCATTTTACAGATGAGGAGAGTGAGGCTCAGGGTGGGAAAGGGATTGGACCCAAGGCTGCCCTACCCTTCCTGCCCGCTCAACAGTTTTCAGCCTTTTTGAGACTTTGGAGAATGTTTAAGAACCTCCCAAAGGAGTCTCCATCTCCATGCCAGTGGGACTCAGCCCTGGAGGGTAGGAGTGGGGTCTCTTGCTTCTTACAACTGAGAGCCGTGGGTGCAGGCTGGCGGGTGTGGGGGTATTGTTGGTGGGTGAAGAGCCCAGAATCCGCTCTCCAGGGGCTGGCCTCCTCCAGCCAGGTCCTCTGCCCCTCCCCACCTCTCACCTTCCCATCCCACCTTGGACCTGAACACACCCACCAAGTACCTACAAAGTGGTGGGGAGTGGGCAGTCTGATGGGAGGGCCAGTTATGGGCCAGGGGGAGGAGTGGCTGGGGACCATCTCATGCTGGGGACTTCTAGGCGTGGACCCTGGAGCCCACGGCTGCCTCTCTGGACCTCGGTTTTTAAAATGGTGGTAAGGGCTGGCTAGTTACCTTAGTTGGTACTGATAACACCAAGGTCCAGGGTTCAGGTCCCCAAACCGGCTAGCTGCCCAAATAAAATGGCGGTGGTAGTGAGAGGTCCAGGGAGTCACGATGTGCTGGGCCCCTGGAGCTGCTGCTCTAGCACATGGTGACGAATGGGACCCCTGTCCTGTAAGGGGTGGAGTCCAGGCTTACGGAGAGCAGTACACAGGCTGCGGTGGGACTGTGCCTGCTTTGGACAAGGCCTGTATGGCTTGAGGAGAAAGGGAGGCAGGTCGTGCAGGGCCCTCTGTGGGCCACAGGGAAGACTTGGGCTTTTACCCCAAGGAAGGTAAGAGCCATGGAAGGCTGTGGGCAGAGGAGGGATAGAACCTGACTTAGGTAGGCTTAGCCACGCTGGCCACTGCACGGGTAGGGCAGGATGTCCAGTAAGTCTGGAAAAGTGTTGGTTACGTTTTTAGTTGTATTCAATGTTCAACTCCCATGTCCTTGAGGAGCAGGACCTCTGAATGTAAAGCTGTGGCTGCTGTGATTAATCTAGAAGCCTGCAGAACTGTTTTCCCTACACATTCAGACTTGGAAGACACAGGCTGGGGGGGCTGGGTGGCAGGAGTCCGGGAAGAGGCCCAGGCAGGGCTCCTGCTCCCAAGTTATTGGAGCATTACCTTGAGCTTCAAGTTCCCCACCTGAGATGGGGATGGCAGTGGACTCTGAGCACGCACCACAACAGTTCCCAGTGACACTTTCCCTCTGGGAGCATATCTGCTGCCTTCCTCCAGGCCCAGCCCTGAGCTGACTTGGAACTCCCTCTTAGGCCAAGCGCGCTGGGGTGACATGCATCGTTCTCCCAGCTGAGAACAAGAAGGACTTCTATGATCTGGCTGCTTTCATCACGGAGGGCCTGGAGGTGCACTTCGTGGAGCATTACCGCGAGATCTTCGACATCGCATTCCCCGAGGAGCAGGTCGAGGTCGAGGCCTTGGCCGTGGAGCGCTGAGAGCAGCCCAGGCACTGCTGGCTGCTGAGGACAGGCCCATTATGGGCTGACGCTACACTGGGGACAGACTCCTGGGCCTGCAGCCGAACCACCAGGAGGCTCAGCCAAGTGGTCTGGGTCCCAGGGACCTCAATTACAGCTCAATCATTGTGTCTTGTGCATAGGAACTATTTAATTATGATTAAAAACCATTTGCAGTACTGCTTGGCTGCTTGCCTCTGTGCCCGTTACCCCGGGAAGGGGGCTGGCTAAGTACTACTTCAGCCTCCTCAGGATGCGAATACCCAGCAACGCACTAGACTAAATGTCCCCTCCCTCCCACCTGCCCAAGGCCAGGACTGAAACAGAGATTGAGTTTTTGTAAGATTTTATTATGCAGAGGGGAGAGGGGGCTCAGTCCTTCTTGGCAGCTGCTTTCCTCATGGCAGCCAGGACATTGCTCAGCTCCTCTCGCTTCCTCTTGGCACGGATGTGTGTCCCCACCTGCCGGGAAAGGAAGGCCCATCCATCAGCCTGAGCCCCTGACTCCCACCTGGTCCCCACCTCCCACCACTGGCAGCCCACCTGGTCCCCACCTCCCAACACAGGCAACCCACCTACCCTTTTCTTAATGAACTTGAGGGCCCGTTTGTCCTTGGAGACCTTGAGCAGCTCCATGGCGCGGCGCTCATATGGGGCAAAGCCACACACCTCTCGGATCATGTCTCGCACGAACTTTGTATGCTTGGTGAGGCACTAAGGGACAGGAGAAGGGCGTCACTCAGGGTGGGGGAGGCTGAGACTTCTGAGACAGACCACGGAGGATCATGTCTCGGCCTCCCGGCACTCTGAGTAACTAAGGTCCCTCTCACCCGGCCTGTTTGCCTGGCAAGCCCCTCCGTGGGTGGTCGTAAGAACTGATTATTACCGTGCTGAGTACAGAGGAAGCGTGAATCCCCGACCCCCATCTCGGTCTTAACACTGGCAGAACCCTCCTGGCCCTTTACCCAGACGGTCCCGTGCCAGGAGCCCCCTCCCACTGGGCACTGGAGGGGCACGCATGAAGTCGGGGCTGCCTGATCAGCGAAGGAACCCAGGAACCCCAACAAGCCTGAGCCTGAAATTCCTCAATTCATTCAAGGCCTCTTCTCTTCCCTCCGCATGCCAACCTCGGGCCAGCCGCCGTTCTACCGGGCGAACTCCTGCTCGAGCCTCAAAACCCAAAACCGCTCCCTCTGCCCCAGCCTCGATCGCACGGGTTGACGGAGCCCGATGCGCCTTCCCTTCCTCCCACTCAAGCCCCAGTGGCTCCGGAAGCTCCCCTCGCCCGAAGCCTTTGCCCAAGCAGTGCCCTCTGCCCGCCCGGAAGGCTCTTCCCACCGTCCTCCCCGCCGCGGCCCCCGGCACTCACCCCGCGCCGTCGGCTGTGCCTCGGCTTGCTCACGTTCTTGGTCACCTTGTGGCCCTTGTTGAGGCCCACAGCCATAGGGTAGCGCAGAGCCATGGCTGCGGACAGCGGGGGGGAGAGGCGGCGGAGGTCAGTCCCGGCTCGGTGCCCGCCGCCTGGAACCCCGCGCCCCGGCATCCCCCGCCTCGCTCGCCGCACCCAGCCATCCTCCAACCGGCACAAAAGCTCGGGTAGTCCGGATGGCGGCGGATCCCGGCCGCGGGGAAAACCACCTACCTGCTGCTCTTCAATGGCTGCTGCGGCGGAAGAGCTGGCGCCGCACGGAATTCTGGGATATCTACCCACCGTGGGAGGCGCAGGCGAGAAAGGCAGGGATGGCGCGCGCTCCCCCTGGCGGCTGGAGGTGTCGCTGCAGTCCCACTGAGCATGCGCGTTTCCTCCAGCGAGCCCTAGACCTTTGAGTCGGACCCGGTGTGGGCGTGGCTGTGGCTACGGAGCCTTTCTCTGCCTTTGCGTTTAGAGTTCGAATCCCACCTGGACCGCTTGCGGCCTGACCCTGCGCCAGCAACTTCACCTTCCAGAACCTCAATTTCTAATCTGCAGAATGAAGACAATGATAATACCGAACTGTTTGAACGAGATATAACAGTACCTGATACAAAATAAAACCTCCGTTCGGGGTGTATCGGTTTCACTGTACTGCATACCCGACCAAGCTCTGGGCTGGGCCTGAGGAACGCTGTGTTATATTAACCCACTGATGGCATTTGATATATTTTAGGTGATGCAGGGATGGGACCTTAAATAGCTGAATCATGGGGTGGAAACAAAAAAGACTTTTCTTTCTTTAGAAGATGACCGGTAAGGGGATCTTAACCCTTGACTTGGTGTTGTCAGCACCGCGCTCACCCAGTGAGCAAACCGGCCATCCCTATATGGGATCCGAACCCGTGGCCTTGGTGTTATCAGCACCACACTCTCCCAAGTGAGCCACGGGCCGGCCCTTGGGGGTAACCCTTCTAATACCTGCTTATCTTAGAGCTTTGGACAGCTCTCAGTAAATGCTCTTTTATAATATTGCATTCATTTTACTTTTGTTTTTTTTTTCTTGGCAGCTGGCCATAGTTTTTATTTTTACAGCTGCTTTCTCTTTCTGCAAGCAGCATTGGTTTACTAATTTGGGGGGGGGGGGGGTCAAGGGGGGGTGTCAATTTGCAACTGATTGATATAAATATCGGTGATGTGCTAATATGGCCCAAACCTTGCCTTAAAGAGGGACAGTCTGGTGTCAGAATCCCAGCTTTTGCCTAGGATGACTTCCCTTAAGTTTCAGTTTCCTTATCTCAAAATGGAAACAGTTTGTAACACCAACCTCAGGTTGTGAAGATGTCCTGCGATCATGGAAGTCAAATGCTCAGGGCCTGATGTACATTATTATTGATGCAAAAACCACGTACTGCGATGCGTGCTGCAGATACAACATTTGCCCCACAGTTAGTGGTACCCTCCCCTCCACCCCTGATGTCCTGAGTGAGCGCCATTTCTCTCTCTCAGCCTCCATTTCTCCACCTGTGAAATGGGGTTCAGAGTTCTGGCACCGGTACACACACACCTTCCCCGTGCCCGCCTCCAGCAACTTGGAAGGGCCGAGGAATTTGAACAACAAATATGCAAGGGAAGAAGCATTTTTATTATGAAAGGGGAGGCTGGGTCCAGCCCAGAACACACTCCTTTCCCTTCTCCTCCAATCCTGCCATCTGGTGAACTGCTGGGGATGCTCCCAGGTTGAATGAGCGGAAAGAATAAATCACTGACTGAGAGGTTCCAGGTGAAATGGAGGGCTCCAGGCTGGCTCAGGGGTGGCGCTACCTGGGGCAAGTCATGCCACCTCTCTGAGTCTCAGTTTTCTCATCCGCAAAATGGAAGCAAGTAATCATGTCATCGACGACGACGGCCAAGAGGACTGAGGTGACCGCCCAAATCCCTGACGAGACGCCTAACGGTGGGCGCTCGCACACCCGTCGTTGTTAGTTCTTCTCGGTTTTGTTTTCTCTCTCGATCTTGGGCTGTGCCCACGCTCTCAGAGATGCCTGTTAGTGTCCCAGCTCCACG